ATATCTCAAATACTATGTTCGGTACATACTCATTATTCAAACTTGTGAAAAAATTTATATAAGTTTGATGAGCACTTATCAAATGACACAAATTGTGAGATAGGATACAAAGGATGCTTAGTACATTCCATTGTACCTTTACAAAGTGCAATCATTATCGAATAATTGTATAAGTTTTTTGGGATTTACGTCAATTCTAGGATCAATGTCAAGGTTATTAGACCTGTTGTGCCTCACTATTCAGTATCTTCCTCTTTATATGCACTTGAGAAAACCTAAAGTCTAGTATGATCTCTTGAGAGAATGGATTTTAAACGTTTTCTTGTAGTGGTGAGTTTTCTGAAGATTCTAAACATTCTTTTATGGTGATAAATTTTCTGGCAGGTTCTTAACATTCTTTTGCGATGATGGTTTTGAGATGTGTGGCAAAAATAGTAGGTTAAAATCTATTGAAACTTCTGTATCCTTATCTTCTAATATAGACTCCTCCTAAAGATAAGGTTGAGTGACGTAAGTCTCTTATTCAACAAATGTGATGTCCGCAGACAAAATTTTTAGGTAGGCGGATGGTAACACTTGTACCCTTTGTGAGAGAAGTACCCCACAAATACATATTCTAGGGCCTGCGGATCAAGTCTTCCACTTTGGTGAGAATGAATATGAGCAAAGGCAATACATCCAAATATCCGTTGGACTAGATGGTTAGTTACACTTACTGTTGAGTAAAACTGCTGAAGTGTTTCAAGATAACTTTTGAAGTTAAGAAAACTTATTGGCGTGTGATTAATAACATAGGTGGCAGTAAGGACGGTTTCACCCCAACATTGTTTTGGAACGCTGTTTGGAAGAGAAAAGCTCCACTGCTGGTTAAAAGATGACTATATTTGCATTCCACTACTTCGTTCAGTTTTGAAGTGTGTATGTAGGATAATTCATGAAGAATTCATTCTTGATGGAAGAATGATTAAAGTGTGTGATTGAAAAAATCTTTGGCATTTTCGGCATAGGATTTCTTCATAGATTTTCCAAATTGGATATTTATAATATTGCAGAATCGGGATATGATATGGCTAACATCATATTTGGCTTTAAGTAAAAATAATCATGTGGCTCTAGTGTAATCATTAATAAATGACACAAACCATCGAGCCCCAAAAATTTTAGTTATATAAGATGGTCCCCAAATATCATTGTTGATTAATGAAAACGGAATTAAACTTTGTTTACTACTAATGGGAAATGTCACAATTATGTTCTGTAAACTCGGAAATATCACAGCAATTCTGGATTCTTAAACAATGAGGGAAACACAACCCTTAAGATGGAAACTAATGGGTGTCTAGGTCTTTTATGGTGAAGGCAAAACTTGTGTATAAGGTCACTAATAATAACAGAGAAGAATTCCTAAGTGAATTAAAATAGTAGAGTCCATTTTTTATTTCAACACGTCCAATTATCTTTCTTGAATTTTGATCCTGAAAGTCATAGTGAAAAGAGCCAACTATTACTTTACAATTCAAATCTTGTGATAATTTATTTACTAACACAAAACTAATACACAATTTGGGGACAAGTAATACATTTTTGACGACAATAGTAGGGCTAAACTTAATGTTGCTCTTGCCTGCAATAATATTGAAAGAACCATATATAGTGACAATCTTTTTATTACTTGGATATGGAACATATGTATAAAAATATTTAAAATTATTGGTCATATGATCTGTAGATCTTGAGTCTATAATCCAAGATTTTTCAAATGATTTATCTGAGATATTTAGTTCCCCTGAGGTAGAAGTCATACCTGAATGTGTCAATAAGTTGGTACTTGTTTTATTTCAAAAAAATAAATAAATTGATACTCGTTTGTTTTTTTAGAAATTCAAGACAAATCCTTAGTCTTTCAATCTTCACTCCTAATTTACTAAGATATGAAGTTGTCGTGTTGGGATTTACTCTAATAATTTGGGACGTACTTTCCAACATTCTTTAAGAATTGGATTGTAACTAATTGCCAAAAAAAATATCGAATAGAATTTTATTCGAAACACGTGGATACGTAAAGTCGTTCACATCTAGTCGTGATGAGGGCAACAAGAGAGAGCTGTGGATGACGTTGCGTGCTTGTCGACAACTATTGAACGCACAGCTGGAAAGACAAGAGCGTAGCAAGAGTCACGACTTGCGACTGGTGACTCATGACAGCAAAGAACAGCAGTTGCTTCCATGGCTGACTATGAAGCCCGCTAGTGGTGGACGCAGCCAGTCTTGTGGTGGTCGACAGTAGGGGTTGGCCATAAAGACTGGCTCTTTTTAATTTTTTTTATAATTTCGACGATGAAGGTCGAATAGGGTATTTAAAAGAGTTTAAGAATTTCTTAGCCTAAAATTCTAATACCATGTTAAGAATGGTTTTTCCATTGATGTATAGTTTATTAAATATTACAGCTCTATATATAAAAGTATTTTAGGACGGAAAAAGAAACAGACAATTAATTACAAATGGTATGATTTTCTCCTTTAACCTGATTTGTTTTCTCTATAACACTCTGAATTATTTCCTCTCTAATATTCTGATTTATTTTCTCTTTAACATTCTGATTTACTTCATCTTTAATACTCTGATTTATTTCTTTTCTAACACCCTAATTTATTTCCTCCCTAACACTCTGATTTACTTCCCTTTTAATTCCTTGTTTTACTTTCTCTTTAATACCATAATTTTCTTCCTCTTCATCTTTAACAAAAATCTCTCTTTGAGAGTCCAGGGTTTTCAGTAAGTAACTGAGATCTCATTTCTTCAAATTTTTCTTGATACTTAATCATTGAATCTTCTTGCACTAGATTATTAAATTCCTCCACAATATCAATACCAACTAACCCCCAAACCTTTTGCAAAATTATTCGAGAGTACATCCCATTTTAAGACTCTTGGAGCGTTTATCTCCACTTTATCTCCTAAATAAAGAGTTGTTGTTTCTACTTTGTTTTTCTTCTGCTATGTTATAGAAATGAAACGATTTCACACATTGTCTTATCAATGTTCTAGGGTTTTGATACTCGAAGATGAGAATATTCGCCTTTGGTGTGGGGCTTCCCGACGGGTTATTCCACGGATTTGGCATGCAACTAACCCCAACGTCTTGTTGCTTTGGGGTGGGGAGTAAATCACGATCTTGACTCGGTATAAAAGATGAATGACTTACATTCAATGACGACTCACCTAGCCCTACTACCCCTCGTAGCATCTCTGCAAGTTGTTCGAACTTTTGGTTGAGAAGCACCCTAGTTTGACATTGTACAATGTACATCTCAACCATGAAGTCAAAGACCTTCAGGTCAACTACTCTCACGTTGTCCTCCAGGGTTTGTATTTTCTATGGTTAATTAACCGCCATATTTCCTTTGCTTTTTGCCATAGCCATAAAACTTGAGAGCATTTTGTTAGAATCAATCTACTCTGAGACCAAGCTGTCAGGTACTTTCAACATATACCCAACAACGGTGAGTATAAGAATGAGAAGAAAGATGATTAAATTGAAAAGAAGAGAAAAAAGAAGAGTAAAGGAGAGAGAATACTTGAAAATACAAAGAACCATTAGAAATACGCTTGATATTCAAACTTATCATGCTTAGAACAAAGAATACAAAGTATTTTCAAACCTAAGAAACAAGAATCGCCATGAATAATCCCTGAAAACCCTCCATAAAAATAAAGCGATAGGGAAAAGAACCCTAGCTGCCAACACCCCAAATGAACCTCTAACTTTGATACATCTCCTCCAACCCTAATTTCCCTTAAATATCTACCCTAGATTTGTGCTACGTACCCCCAACGCTCACCAATTAATGCCACGTAGCCCACTTAACCCCTGCTTCAGTCAATAGCCGACATGTTTCCTCTCTTACTCCAAATTACGCCAAGTCTTGCCAACTGTTCTCCGCTTGTAAACCAACACTAATCTTTGTTCTCTACTACCTGCTTTATTCCTTCCTTTGTGAGTTCGTTTAAGTTGCATGCTTCTGGTCTAATTTTGCGCCATGTGAGCTCGTTTCCTCATACGAACCTTCTTATAACTTGGCATTCGGTTGCTTCATGATCAATAGCATATTAACATTGAGCTTCGTCAAGTAATAACACATGCAGGTATGGGAAAAATTTTATAGGCTTATTCGTTGTGTTTATTCTACATCACATAAAGAGAAAGAAACAAGTGAGTTATTTAAGGAAACTGCTCTCTTTGTGATAGAATTATAGATTATTGGTCCCAGACTCCTAATATTTTTTTTTATACTAGGCATCCTATTAGGTGGTGAAAATTTGGAATTTTTTTCAAAAAAAGAGAATAATATATTAAAGGCACCAAAGGGGTGCATAACCCATATACAAAAAGCATTTATAGTTCAACTAGGATATGAATTAGGTCTTCCAAGTTCTCAATAGAATATAGTGGGCGACCCTTAACCAAAAACTCAAAAGTATAAACTCAAGACTCAAAAGTATCAAATTTTGATTATGTTCTCTCAAAAGCTCTCATATTTCTCTCCTTCTAAGAAGCTTAAAAGGTAGACCAAATGATACGTCACTAATCTCTTATCACCTTGGCTGCCTTCTCAAGCCCACAATTCCTCCCTTGTGAATAGGTGGATTTGGGGAAGATGAAGAGTTGGGAAATCTTATAAACATTTTTGTTTCAAATCTTGCATAAATCCCTTATAAATAGTGGGATCCTTGGTGCCCTTTTATTTTATTCCTTTTTTATCAAAAAGAAAAGAGAAATTCTTAAGCATTTTCCAAGGACGACAATTTTGTATTCGCCTGCTCGGTTAATTCAATAGCTTTTTTCATTGCTTTGCGAAACGAAACTCTATTCTTTAATTGTCCGGCTATAAATTCCGCAAGAATATTAGGGTGCCCATAAGGATTTGCAATTCTGATAATCAGAGAAAAGAAATATCAAAGCATGCATTTACAAGAAGAACACAAAGACAAGCCAAACCTGTATCAGCACAAAAGGTTTACGTGATAGACCAACCTGAAAGAGACAATAGTGTTTCTTCAGACATTAAGCTCAATTTTTACATTAAAAATTTAGAGCAACAAACAAATAAAAAGAGAAAAGGCTGTTTGTTGTCGTTGGTTTAATACAGTGGTGACATCCAACTAATTACACTCACATATGAACAAGTAAACAAACCTAGCCCGGAAAATTTACAAACACATGCTAAGTGAAGGTTAAAACAGAAACTCACATCAATGGCTTCTTTTTGAGATTTGTTCAGATTCTCTTTAAAATGATCATGCAGGGATCCAGAAATTTTCCAGGCTGGATCTCCAAAACCATAATTTTTTTCTGCAGCTGTCAGTATTAAGTCCGTGAATGGGAGAGAGCCCACAGACCATAAAGCTGCATATTCACGGGTAATAGTAGATAAACTGCAAATCTGCAAATAAATTGCACTTAGTAAATAAAATTTAAACTAAATGATTTCTGCAACAAACTATTTGCAGACGACTCCCCCTTTAAATATAGTGTAGTAAGCTTTGCTCACTCCCTCAATCAACTTGATTTAGAAAGAGAATCTACCAGCAAACCGTGAATTTTGAGACACCCCACTCCAAATTGGATAATTATTTTTAAAGTAGATTCAGGGCAGATTCAGATACTGCTATAAATTTACCTGCTTCAATCAAGGTTTGTGCTTCAATCAAGGTTTACCTGCACTACATGTGCATTTCTATATTTTTTTAAATTATTTACATATAATATTTTTATTCTTATTTACTTGTTTGTATTTACTTACACAGGCAAATACATAAAAATTTTGTGCTTATTGTATGAGTTTACAAGAACAACACCTCAAAAGTTAGCTAACGAGATAAAAGAATCCTCATTCATATAAACATTGCTATCATAAATCCTTATAATTTTTTCATTAAAACCTTATATCTCATAATTAGCACGTAATGGCCACATATAAGTACACAAAAAGAAATATTGCCCAGGACCATTCAGGCAGGTCAGAATATTCCATCTGTGAACTGATACAGCAGGGCTAATGCAATAGGGGCAAAGCAGAGGAATCCATCCTAAGCCCACCATGTTACCGTCTCTAATTAAGGCAAGAAATAAGGTTTGAAGCATCATGAAAGAAGAAAATGAAAGAAAAATACATTAACATATAAAAATAGCAAATGCAGGAACAGGAACATAATAATGAAACATGGGATAAGAAGTTTAATTGACTTTCAAATTTTATGTTTTCAAAAAAGTATGAATGAGACATCGGTACAATTGCCAAACATACATGAATGACATGAAAACAATGTTGGAGAACAGAGCACAAAAAACTAGTAAATATGCCGAATATACGTTTATTAATAACATTAAATACCTTTATACTGAACAAGCGTTTGTCTATAGCAGTAGCAGAAGAAGTAATTAGGGCTCGCATGTCTGACAGCCTCTGAGAAGATTTAGCATCCTTATTGATATGCAAAACCTCCTCCTTCAAATACATTCTAAGTCTAAGAAGATTTTTCTGGCGATGTTCCACCAATGCAAACGCATAAGTTGTTGGGAGATTTTTACTCCCCTCTTTAAACTGTCGAAAACAATGCCCTCCAAGAAGTAAAGAACTCAAGCTACATCAATAAGTCTGTACTAAAAGTGAAACAGAAATTCCCTTTGGCTGAAAATTACTATGAGAAAATATTGTTATATCCAACAGAAGGAAAAAACATACCAAGCAAAAACCAATGCAATGGTTGAAAAATACATAAATTCTTAAGAAATTACAATATGGTCTGGGGCAACTCCAGAGAAGAGGAAGAAAAGCATTAGAGGCATGAATTGATTATGTGAGGTTAATTTGATACCTCTTCTTTTGATAATAGCAAAAGGTCATTCTGGAATATCGACTCGTCCTCATCAGCTTCATAGGTCACTGCTGGAAAGTGAAACCCATCAGCCTCACTGCATTCCATCACCAGTCTCATCTTCCATTCTGCCACTGCAAGTGAAATCCCATACATTCATGATAGAAATACTTTGATAATATAACATGCCTCAGATGTGGACAAAGAAGGATAGACAAATATGCCTGGACAGTAAGTTGAGAAGAAAAAGAAACAAAAGGATGGTACTGCACTACATACCAAGTTCAAATACTTACAATCAACTCAAGAAGAAAGAGCAAAAAAGGGAGAATGCAATGGCCAAAATTAAAAAGTAAGCAAAAAGTAATTAATTCTGAATTTTCTAATTCTGGTTGAAAAAGAAATCAATTTTCACATAAGACAATCAAGGAAGAAAACTTGAAGAGAAAAGTACCTTCTCCCTCGTCTTTCTGTTGCTGTACAATCTGTGCCTTGACTTCTTCAAATAAAAGGGGCTCAAAAGTTTTCATATAATCCTCCACATTTTTATATGTATCCTTCACTTTTCTCAACCCCAAAGAAGCACCATCAACTTTTCCTTTGCTGTTCTTCTGATTTGGAAAACAGAACACGGGAGTAACTTCA